AAACACCATTTAAAGATTGGTTACATGAACAAAAAGATAAAATGCATAGAAAATCAAATAATAATTTAACTGGTTCGATAACAAAAGTATCAATGTTATCAAGAATATTTGATTTATTTGTTGCGGCTATGATTGGATATTTTATTATATCAATTATTAATTCATTAGCACAACGTTATTATAAACGAACACGTACAATACAATGTAAATAATTATTATTTAAACTTTAAATGATCAAATAGGATCATTATTGAGCAAAAAAAAAGCATTACTGTGAATTTGTGTTTTTGTTTGTTTCTTTCATTTATCGATTTATTTATTTCTATACATATGTTTTGTATTTTTTCTGTCATCTGATGTATCAGGGATTAAATTTAAGTATAAACTATGAATTATTTATATTTTTTAAAGTATGAAAGATCCGTTAGTTTTAGTTGTTGGTGATTAAACAGATCTTGTAATAAGTATAGTTTCTCTCGTCAATGAATCAATTGTTCAAAGAATCAAGAATGTGACTTATTTGATGATCTTTTACTATCTATATAATGATAGTTCAAATTTGAATTCATATAGATCAATAAATAACTAAGTTTTTCTAGAAGTAATTCTCTCTAATATGCGTACAATTTTTTGACCTATTTGCTTATTCTGAAACCTATTTTTATACACTACGTATAAGTAATTCTTTTAAACTTAATCATAGTAAATTGGATGTACAAAGAACAACATGACATGAGCCCATTCTACCAGACACATAATATTTAATTAGTGGTACTAAATATAGTTTGGATATATTACAAAATACGATATAACACCTGATTTCGTGACAGATATTTTGTAAACGCAAAAAGATAATGAAGGCGTAATGAAGTTTATATACAAAGAGATCTTTCACTACTTTCCTACAAAGTTGTAATCAGCCATTTTCAAAAATTGCTTTTTTTGTATACGTTAAAAATTTTGATGAGTAAAATATCTTATTATTAGTAGCCAGAAATTAAATAATTTCATAGTTTTATAACTCTTTTACTGGTGCTTCTAAAACGCTTTCGATAATCAATAAATTCATATGCTGTCAGTGACAGTCATATTATTTTTCTAAAAGTTTCGATGCGTCATCACCACCTCTTTTGGTATTGATAAAACTTTGAATAAGAAAAATTTAGTTAAATAATTCAAATTCTTCACTAGTATTCCATATATATGAACACTTATTTGCTTTCATAATCATATTCAAAGTTATTTAGAATGAAAACTAAAGCCAACAGTTTATTCGATAACGCTCGTATTATTTTGATTAATTAATAAAGATAATCAACAAAATTGTTTTTTTCTTTATTTACATTGATACAATAGCAGAAAACATACAATTAGTATGACTAAACGAATTATAGTGATCATATCAACAACAAAAAAATATATTAAAAGAATGGCTTTCTACTAAAATAGCGCAGGCTGGAGACATTCAATACTTTCATATTATATTACAGTTTATATGTGAATAAATATGACTTAATTTACATCTACCAAATGTTATTTTTTATGTTAAAATCATGACATTGTAACTCAGGAAAAGGAAATATAATTTTTCTTTGAGTGGGGACACGCAATCTTATTCTAAAGACTTGATAAAGGTCAAAAAATTACTTTTTTTAATATCCGGTTGGTTTTACTATTCATTATAGAAATCTAAATATTTCTAATATGTCATCTTTAATACGAAATGTGTAGAAGTGTTGATAATTACATTTAGCAATTCATTACTTAATTATACAATAATATGATGAGTCAAACAATTAATGAGAGAATCAAGTAGATAATACGAGTATTTTTTTACTATATCCTATAATCATAATAATAAAGAAAGTAACTTTTAAGTGCATTGGAAAAAGGAATTTTGTATGAATACTCGATGTTCCTATTTAATTTTATATTTTATAATAAAAAATTAAAAAGAAAGTGAAAATCACATTTTTCCTGGACGTGAGTACGCTTCTTTTTTTGAATATACGCACTCAACAATTAGTAACAACAATAGTAAGTGCAATTTTTTTATACCAATATGTAATTTGAACAATAATAAGAATTTTACAAGTGAAATATTATTAAATCGATTAGCTAGAGCAGATAGTTTTATTGTATAAATCGTCAAAAAAGAAGGGTTACTAGATACTTCTTCTTTTTTTTAGTTTTATTAATATTTGTGAGCTACAGATGGTTAATACTATACTCCTTCTGAACATAATTATTTATGTATAAGTATATATGACGTATTATACTGCGTGTTTAATAAAACGTTATTCATTTCAAAATTCAAACTATTCATCAGTAGTATATGAATAGTTATTTGATAATAATTAAATTAAAAAAAAGTATCGATCTGTATTTTTTTTTTCTGTAAATTTTATTGAAAACTTAAAGATCACAATTAAGAAATATTTTATATGACACGCACTATAATAGTTTTTTTTTTGTTTCTCTTTTTATTATGAACTCAAGAATAGTGTGAAAAATATTTTAATAAATCACATAATAAATAAAATTATAAGAGTTCAAATAAGAATTATTTATCATTGATGACAGTATCTACTTAATTCCGAAACACTACAAAGGTTTTCACAACATGATTCTGTAATAACACGTTTGCTTTTTAATATTGTTGAATCATCATCATAATAATCGGATGTTAAACTTGTTTCTCGTTTAAAATTTGTCAATGAATTTGGTGGTGAATGTTGTTCAACAACTCGACAAACTACACTTAACATTAAAAGTAAATTTGGACCACATGCATGATAAACACGTTCTAATAAACAATTTTCTACTCGAAAAACTTTCTTTCGAATTTTAATAACTTCATTTTCTGATAAGAATTGATTATCATATTCAACTAAACATTGGTTATTTTTTATACGTTGTCGATAAGTAACACCAGCTGCTTTAACATGATGAATTGAACCATCAATTTTACTTTCAATATCACGTATAAATAAAGATTTTTTTGCATTATAAGAATCATTATCTTCATGAGAATCTGTATTGTTCGTTGGCATACTTAAAATAATAGCAACTAGCGCTAATAAACATATTATAGTATAATTGTTCAACATGATTATAGGAGTTAAGAAATTAAATAAATATCTTGAAAAACAAAAAAAACTAACATTAATTTTTATTAAATGAAAAAAGAAATTCTTACTTATTATTGCGTGACCTGCGCTATATAAATATAAAGTGTTATATTCGTCAAAGAAAGTTTGTTTTTAGTTCTTTATCAAAAATATTAGCTGTATATATATACAACGCGTACCCTCTCTAAGAATAGGGAAAGAGAAAGAGAACCGATAGGAAAAAAATATTATTCTTTTCTACCTGGTGGGTTTTAATTTTGACTAATGTTCAATCTCTATTTTTATCGAAAGTTTGTATATTCAAAAGACAGATGGAAAATAAGAAAACTCTTAGGCATGACATAGGTGGTAAACATGTTTTGTCAGGAAGATGGTATAGTCTCATTTAACTTTCGGTCATCTATACTTAGTGTTCCGTTATTAAAACGAACCTAAAATATTTATAGAGTTTTTTAATAGGTCCTCCTACGGTTTCCAGTTTAAACGTCAACATTTTACGTCAATAGTATATCGAAAAATAGCTTACGGTATCCAGACAAATAATAAAATTAGCAAAAGAATATATATATGTTCATCAATTAAATCTTGTGAGATACCTGTTGAATATAAAACCGTTGTATAAGATCAATTCATATCTAATGTTTACATAAATGATTGTTTCAATATATAAAAACAATTTGCACTCCTTCTAAATATTACTCATATTTCAATTGTTATTTTGTAATATTAATATTTATAAGAATTTTTTTAGAGTGTAAATTGATCTTAAACGAGAATTCAATCTTTTATAGAAGGTAATAATTGTACTCGAATGAGTCTATTTTTCTTCTAGTATTACAAATGTTCAGCTTCACAATAGATTCGTGCTCTTTGACGTGAGTGTACTCTATTAGTATAATTTCTTCCGATAATTTTTAAATGTTCTACTCTGATTTCCGCATTAATTGTTTTTTCGAAGACTCGATATATGAAATAACTAAAATATATCAAACAAGAATTGATAGAGAAAAATTAAGTAGAGCAAATCATTAATCATAAATTAAATATGGAAGCTTATTCAAATGAAGAATATCAATTAATATATTTTTTTTCGTATTAGAATTAGTAATATTGTACTTAAGTGTCTATACATTAGTGAATTATGATATGTTAAACTAATAGCACAGGAAGAGGGCATATTCAATAGCAGTGAGAATATGAATACAAGAAAAGAATAAATAATAGATACTGCTACACCTCCTACACTATCGTCATCATAAACATTGTAGAAGAAGTGCCTTCAAGAGAAGAAAGAACGAGATAGGAATAAATTACTTTTGTGTATTATTGAACCTTCAAAAAGATTATGATACGATTGATATTTCTGGCAGAAAATTATAATATCTCGATTTTCTTTTGGAATATAAAAGTGGAATATCTTCACAATTTTGATGTAACGAATAAGGGGTAGAAAAAATGTTTCGTCGAACATTTAATTTTTGTAGTTGAAAAGTAAATCATATAAATCGAATTTTTTTTTTTGATATTCGGTGAAATACCACTTTTGAAAAAAATTAAAATCCTTTTTATTAAAAATATATCAATGGTAGAATTAAGAAAAAAGTTAGAATCTTAGTACTATTGCAATGTTGCTTATTGTGTATTAATAAATTATATATAAATCGAGAGGAAAATATACTTCTATACAATAGCCGGAACTTGAATTACATATTCTATTGAAGATATGCTTTTTTTTCGATTGTCAATTAGGTCAGCTTGCTCCAGCTTTTCATATGACATCTCTTATATTAAGAAATAAAAAGTCATAGTTTTCAACGGTTAAGTCAATACATTTTTATAAGAAATTGGATTGTTGTGTAGAGCTTAAAATATAAATGTCAAGTTAACTTTTTGAGGACCGGTAACGCATATATGGGTCCCCCGTCTTGGTATACTTGAGAAAAATCTGCCTATTGCTCTATTTTACACAAAGACTTGTGATGTATCCCGAGGGTTTCAATGGACTTGATTAAAAATTAAAAACTATCTTTTTCAAAAGATTTTCTCTTTGACTATTCTAATTCCAAAAATAGTCTACTCAT